AGACAAGGCAGCTGCTGGCCACTTTGGTAACAATTTCTATGCTGTGTCAGGTCCTTCATCCATGGCCTAAAGCACAGCTTTTCTAGTGTACTTCTTTCAAACATCATGAAAAACGTAAAGTCTATGCAGAAGTGAATGGATACTGGCGTGTCTCGTCCCTAGGCCCTACACTTTCTGTATTAGCATGTTACCTTAGACTTAACGTCCCCTTTAGTCTCTGAAGAAGCTGCAGAGACCCTGACAGGTCACTCATAAATATTCCATCCTGCAGTCCCTGGCAGCAGTAAGGTACAACATCACTCCTTTACTGTACCTAGAGCTGAGGAGAACCTACAGCACCAGGGTTCTCCAACTGCCCAAAACCACACGTGCAGGTTCACCACCTACAGGCTTGTGTCACAATATAGCCTTAGGCTGGCCTTGAGCTTACTAAGCATCCTGCACTATCTTAAGCTTTTGGTCTTTCCAGGGTTAAATACATTTTGGGGCATGGGAAGATGTATGTCAGAGATCAGAGGACAATTCTCAGGATTCCATTCTCTCCTTCCACTATGTAGGTCCCTGAGATGGAGCTCAGATCATCAGGCTAGGAGTCCTTCCTGCTGTGCTACCTGGAGGGTTGGCCCCTTGGTTTGTGTTTTTCCAAACAAAAAACTGATCTAGATTTACTCGCTGCATTTAGCCATTACACTTCACCCTGCATTCTTAATCGAGGGTTTTTTGACTTATGAATAATTCAAGGGCCGAAAATAAAGCCAGGCCTCTATCTGCTCTAGAGTGTTGTGTCCTTGCTTGCTCTGGGCAGGGTCTTTTCAAGACTAAAAAGGAAGGCTTTAAGTTTTTTCAAAATTACACTAAAAATTTTAGTGTGTACATGGGTGGACGTGTGTGTGAGTGTGTGTGTGAGATGTTCCCTCACCTTGCAATTCTGTGGCAGAGCTGCACTGAGTTCTGACCGTCTTAGACCGTCTTAGATTTACTGCTTTTCTGTGGTCTTACAGAAGGTACTCCCTTCTCTCCAGGAAAAAAAAAAAAAAGAAATAACAATGTCTTCCTGTACTGGAAGGACTCAAAAGAAAAGTGAGGTCGATGGATGTGGCCTTGGTCCTGACACCAACATGCAGTCAATCAACTTCTGCCTCTAGGACAGACACCTGAGGGGATAGCCACAGATGAGGCCTCCAGGCTGGATGACACTGAGGTTGAGACACAGCAGGGTTCCTGAGTGAGCAAGTGTTCCCTGGCCTGCAAGTACTGCAAGTGCACACTCACTAGAGCATAAGTGGGGTGAAGAAGCACAAGTCGAGGCACTCCAGCTGTGGCTCTGACTGGCCACCCCTCTCCCAGGACACTACTTACCCAGGTTCTCACTGTGTAGACCTGGACTTCTGTTTCCCTGTTTCCACCTCAAGAGTGCCGTCAACCATAACAATCGGCTTCATGAGGGGCTGCAACCACTCTACCAACATCCCCATACTTCTCTCAACTTCTCCATGATTAACATTCATGGAATTGGCTTTTTCCATGAGGTGAGAAGCACCCCTTCTCCCCAAGCCCAAGGACAGAAGTAATTACTGTAGAGGTGGCAGCCTCCACAGCACCCTCCCCAGGAGGCCTTTTGTTGTTAGTCACCCTCCACACCACCAGTGACACATCCCTGCACTCTGCCCAGAGCTGAGCCACTCAGAGGGTGGATGATGGACAGCAGCCCAACCAACTGTTGTTCAGAGACGGAATCCTTTCTTTACTCTTTCAAGAGTCTCATTCTGGCAATTTCCCTGCCTGGTTTTGAGAATGCAGGTAACTCAGCTGGGTGTGGTTGGTACACGCCTTTAATCCCAGCACTTGGGAAGGCAGAGGCAGGTGGATCTCTGTGAGTTCAAGGACAGCCTGGTCTACAAAGCGAATTCTAGGACAGTCAGGGTTATACAAAGAAACCCTGTCATGAAAGAAAATCTACCACCAAAAAAAAAAAAAAAAAAAAAAACAGTGGATAACAGTGGACCGCATTCTCATTCTTGCCAGTGCTCACGTAACCATGTGCCTGGAGCGCGTCCTGAGTCCAGTGACCACCCAAGCCGCACAGTTACTGTCAACACATCATCAGATAGACTGTTGTGCTAGGAAATGGAGCTGAGTGGAAATTCTTCACTTGCTTCCTATGACGTTTTCTCCTAAGTTCTTATTGGCTAAGTGAACACCAACCAACTCATGACCCAGCAAGAACCTGTGAGAGAACAGGGTTCCCATAGTTAGATCCCCACTTCCCAGGAGAAAGAGGCTACCAGGAAAAGAACCCCCCACACACACACACCTGCTCCCTAGTTTCCCCGCCAGGCTTCCCCACCACTGTGAGACTTTCTGGAGGCCCGGAACAGAGCCGGCAGGAAAGGTTCTCTAGGTGGTCTGTCCTGCTCCCTTCTCTGGTCACTGGCATCTTCCGGGCTGAACTGTCCCTGCCTGAAACCTGGCCCTAAGGTGGGTCAGCTGAGCTCCAGGGACAAGCTGGAAGCTTCAGGAATCATGCTCTTCTAGTCTTCACAAGGAGAAGCTCAGAGCAGGCCCGCAGCCTGTGGTCCATGAGCAAATCTAGCCTGCTATCTGCTTGTGTAAATAAAGCTTTGCTGGACAACAGACAACCTTCATTTACCTCTGTGGCTACTTTTGCTCAGAACCAAAAATACTTACTTGAAAAAGTGCCAATTCCAGACTAGACCTTTGCTGTCCAATTTGACAACCCCTGGCTGACACTTATCTAAAATAAAGAATTTGATTTATCAGCTGTACATTTTAAGTGCCTGATGGTCACATGTAGCCACCGGCTAGTATAGTGGATGTCACAGAGTGCATTCCCAACACAGTGGGCCATTCTCTTAGCGCTACAAGTGCAGGATCTAAGTCATCAAGCTAAATTTACAGCCGTGCTCTCTCCCTTAGAGGCAGTTAGGACTGTGCCAGGTTACATTATAACCCTTCCATACTTGAATTTTCAGGAATGGCAAATTGGACACATGCCAAACTACCTGGGACTGCAAACAGGGTGAGCAGTAGTGGCCCCTGTTTACCTGACTGCCCCACTCCAGGGCAGCACACCACAGTGAGGACACACCACTGCATCTGCATGCTCCAAGGTAGGGTCAGCCCGGCACACGTACTGACAAACTTGAGGAATGGAAAATGTACAACTGTCATGCAAAAAAAAAAAAAAAAAAAAAAAAGGGCCACTGAATTGAACAGATGACAAGGGCACCGGGAGCACTGTAATCCTCTTGCAAGACATTCTGTCACAGTCACAATTTCTTTTTTAAAAGTGTTTTTAAAGATCGCAAACAAAACAAAACAGCTTCCTAGATTTGGCCTCTTAGTCCTACTATTTAAGGGCTATGTGATCCTGGGAAAGTTGTATTCTCTTTTGGGTGAAAGACCCCTCTGTCTTAAAGGGGAAGGGCCCAGCCCTTCCCACCCAGCTCCCTGCCAGGAGGTATTTCTCTCTGTCCTTTGTCTCTGTCCAGCAGGGCTCCTCTGGGGAAGGGGATGTATGTGAGTGACTTTAAATGACCTTCAGCACCTGGTTCACAGCAGCTGCCTGTAGGAAGTTTAAGACAATGAAAGTTAAGGCATCTGCTTTAAAGAGTCTTCATGAGGAAATCAAGAGCTCTTTGAGATGTAAAATTAGAAGCTGGTCCAGCTGTTAGCACTGCGAGCTAGTTTTGGTTCTACAGGTTACCCCTTCAGAACCTCAAGTCCCTTTCAGGGACAGGCACTTCATCCACTATTTTCCCCAACAAATTAGATATTAAACAACTGAGAGGGGACAACTCCATGACAGGCAGAGGAAATTTGGAACTAACAACAGGACCCTCACAAATTAATGATTCTATTTATAAAATATAAAACCAAAGCCCAGCAGTGGTAGCACACGCCTTTAATCCCAGCATTTGGGAGGCACAGGCAGGTAGATCTGTGAGTTCCAGACCAGTCTGATCTACAGAGTGAGTTCCAGGACAGGCCCCAAAGCTACACAGAAACACTGTCTCAAAAACAAAACAAAACAACAACAACAAAAAAAACAAAAACCCCAACAAATAAATAAAATAAAACAGCAAATGATTCTTTTCAGAACAAATTCATAACTCAAAGAAGAACAAGAATACCCGTGTCTAATAAGAACCAGAAGACTCACAAACCAAATTTGTGAGAGATGGCTCAGTGGTTAGGAACACTTGTTGCTTTTGGAGATGACCTGAGTTCAGTTCCTAGCCATTCACAACTCCAGTTCCAGACAATCTGATTCCCTCTTCTGATCTCTGTGGCCACCAAGCATGCACAGTCCACATACACAGATACAGGCAAAACGCACATACAACACATAAAATGAATTTTTTTAAATCTGTTACCCATAAGGGACCTTAAATTTGCCTTCTACATGTAACCCATCCATGTTACTGCGAACTAGCCAATGGTTCAGAATCAAAATGCAAATAGCTGCCTGGGTCCTGCAGCTAAGGCACCTGCTTTCCCCGGAGTCACCCTCTGCTTCTTCCTGGCTGTTTCACGTTTAGCCATTGTGGAAGCCAATTTCTACAGCATCTCAAGGTGGGGGGGGGGGGCTAGACTTGCTTCCCACAGTCTGGGCATTCCTGTGACCTATATACACACTGAAAACTTGTTGCCCTTTTAAATCTTAACAAAGCCTCTGTAATGCAAAGCGTTTCCTGCGGCTGCACTAAAGCTAACAGCTAACATTTAAAACCAGGAGCCAAGCAGATCTCAGGATTTCAAGCATTATTTCCCTTCAGGCTGGAGTACACATCCTCCAAAATGAAGTTCTCTTCTGACCAATTCTGCACATTATCTGGCCACAGCTCAACCTTAATTCAGAGCCCTGTCCCCATCAAAACCCTTGCAATATTCAGCAACATCGACACCAAGGTAACACAAACTCTGAGAGCGGACAACTTGGCCAGGCCCGCCGGCCCGCCTCTCCTTCCTTCCCCCACCCAAGACCTTCCCCGGGTAGTGACTTCACATCCTTTGACATCAGCACAGCCTCGAAAGGGGGATGGGAGAGCAGGCAGAAAGCAGAAAAACCAGCTTTGAACTCTGCGTGCAAGGCCTCCGGAGCCTCAGGCCCCGTAAGTAATGTATAGAATGTCCACCGATCAGTGCTGACACCCCGGCCTCTCAGGGGCAGTCCCATCAACGTGGAGGGGGTACTGCTGGATAGACTTCCTGCTTTTCCTATCCAAAGCACAATAGCCATTTATTAACTACCCACGGAAGGTTCCGGTCAGTAGAACACACAATAACTCACCTCGAATGTGGAGAAGGGCCACGGGCTGGAAAGGCCCGTTGGAGCTGGCCGCATCCACCACCATCCCGCTGCCCGCCTTATTACATGTCAACATCTAGGCTCCAGCGGGAAGGGCGCTGTACTCCTTAAGGCAAGAAACCAGCCTCCATTTTAGTTTAAAAAAAAAAAAGACAAACTGAAGCTCTCTGCAGCTGGAGGGAACTGGCTGCTTCGTGATGTCAGTGGGCATGGAGCTCGCTGATTGGCCGGAAGCTGCAACTTAAAATGACACTGGAGAAAAAAAAGCCTGCAAACGGAAAGAGCGTTCTGTTTGGCTGTCAGTGTGTGTGCAGTAAAAACCTGGGCATTTTCGGGCTCCACAGTCTTCATTTCTCACTAACTTTTAGGCAAGGATCCCAGCTCTCAGGGGATGGCTCCGGAGGCCACAACCCGGATCAGACAAGAAGGAGCAACCAGAAAAAGGAAGCATGTGTGTGCATGCTCTCCATGATTCTACCATTTCCCAAACTGGTTCGTAAACTCAGTGGCACCTTATACCCACCTGTGCTCAACCGCCTACCTCCCAGCTCTTATCTCATTCATTTACTAGTAGTTTTGGGTTTTGTTTTTTTGTTTTTGTTTTTTTTTTATACTAGGGGTTAAACCTAGGGCCTGGTGCTCGCTAAGCAAATCCTGTACTAAGTTCTACCCTCAGCCTGAGAAGTGTTCTGGTAGCATTATGACAACCCAGTTTTAAAAAAGTAATGGCTATTGAAATATTACTAAACTCCAAAGCATTTGTGTTCAGCCTTGAGCTCAGCCACCTCCTTACTACCAACAGGGCAAGTCTGGGGTTTATAATCAGGACACAAGATTTCTTCCCAGCCTGGTCTACAGAGCAAGCTCCAGGCCTCCAAAACAATACAGAGAAAACCCGTCTCGGAAAAAAAAAAAAAAAAAAAAAAAAAGATTTCTTCCCAACCCCAGAAAAATGAGAAAAATGAGGGTTAAAAAAAAAAATCAATGGAAGAGCTGCTTAGTAGTCAATGGCCAGGAAGTATTACATACGGCTATAAGACTTTTTAAGATGTAAAGCTATGTCCAGCTTGGTTAATTAATTATTTTTTTGGTGTCTGTGTGTCTGTCTCTACAGCTCAGGACAAAACCATCTGGGTCCCAGGGATCAAACCTGGGTCTTCAGACTTGATGGCAAGAGCCCTTACCCACTGAGCCATTTGGCCAACTCTATTTTTGTTTATGTTTTTTGGTTTTTGGTTTTTTTTGGTTTTTCAAGACAGGATTTCTCTGTATTGTTTTGGAGCCTGTCCTGGAACCCACTCTGTAGACCAGGGTGGTCTGGAACTCACAGAGATCTGACTGCCTCTGCCTTCCGAGTGCTGGGATTAAAAGTGTGCGCCACCAACGCCTGGCTATTTTTGTAATTTAAAAATGTTAGTATGCTAGATTCTTTAGGTTTTGCTTTCTTATTCAAAATTAAGTTTTTTTTATTTATTTCTGTTATGCTACTATTTACATCTTAAAATAAAAAGTGTAAAAAGACTACTTCGGAACTGGAGCACTGTCGGATGTTGGTGAGATGATTTCCCTACAAAAAGGAACACACTGCTAGTCCAAAGAGAAGCAATGAAAATAGGAGGAAACTCTCTGGCAGAACTGAAAAATTCTTCACCTCATAGAAAAAAGAAACATTTCTGTAATTATGCTGTGCCATTTTCTAAGACAAATAAAGCCCTTTAACTCCTAAACACACCTGACACACTGGTCAGTTACTTCTATGGGTCTAACACAACACACTGCAGTGAACGAACAAACAACCATTCAGGGTGATTATCGGACCTTCCCTCACCAATGAGAACACAGATTTTACCGTTTCAGCAACTGTTAAGGTAATTCAACAGGAGAAAAAAGTAAGCCTATTCGTGTCCCTGTCCTCCTCCCCTCAGAGCCAAAGATGCTGTGAGGTTCTGCAGAGGGGATGACCTGGCAGGGCTGGGATGGACTGGGGCTTCTGGCACACCAGGCAAGCAATCTGCCATGAGCTTCACAGCAGCCCCAGCACATCACCCTCACACTCCTGGACCGTGGAAGCCCCCAATGGTGTCCTCTGCACTTGCACATACAGGCTAGCTAAATAAGAGATTCTGCCTGCCCACTTGTCTCTCAAGAGAGGATATCCCTCTTCCCCAGTCAGGCAGTGCTGAGGGCAAGGCTCACCTGCCTCACCGTCACCCTCTCACTCAGGGAGGGACACCAGCCAGACTCAGACATAAAGCACAGTGGGGCCCGGGGGACGGGAGCAGGGGTCCACAAGTGAATACTTTTGCACTCTGCCTGCCATAATTTACCATTTCATGGGAGTGTGCACCCCTATAGCTGTGCGGATGAACTGGAGGACAGAAACACAGGGGAGAAATGACTAGAAGCTCTATATAACACAGACAGATTCAAAGGCAAAGCGAGTGAAGACACTTTTTGATGTGTTTTTGCTAATGATCTTAGATCAAAGGATTTCAAACTTTATTAGTGATTTCTCCCATACTCTTTGAAACCTTATGCATATAAAGTAGTTCTTTAAAGAACTCTAAGACTATGATCTGAAAACCACTGATAAAACATACTGCAGCTGGGCATGAGGGGGGCAGGAGCTCAGAACACACTAGACTACACAGTGGAGCTCTATAAAAAAGAAAAAGACACCCCCAATAAAGACCCTAAACCTCTAAAATATAAACAAACAGGAGAAGGAAAAATAAAAAACAAAACAAAGCCCTAACAGACAGAATAGGTGCTCATGAACTGGAGGCAGAGAACCATAGAGTCAGAGTCTAACTAAATCAAAGTCCAGATGGACCCTCTGCTTTTCAAGGTAAATGACAAGATCATTCTAAAATTCACCTGGAAAAAACAAGAGGACAAGAATGCAGACAATTCTAAAGAGAGAGGTGAGGACACCAACCTTAAAGTCAACAGGTTATGACTGTGACAAGAGGGACAGAAGCAGTGACCTAACCCAGCAGACACACAGAGGGTGGAGAACGACCACGTCAGTGGGCTGGAGAGGAGGGAGACAACTGTTAAACCATATGCAGGAAAGGTCACCTGAAGTCTTTCCTCACACCAGAGCAGACCTGGGATGAGTTAGGTAAGCAAACACCAAGCTTTAGATGGGAAGAACCAACTCTACAGCTAGAAAAGGACACTTAGAAACACCTGGTGGGCCGGGCGGTGGTGGTGCACGCCTTTAATCCCAGCACTCGGGAGGCAGAGGCAGACGGATCTCTGTGAGTTCGAGGCCGGGCTGGATCGAGAAACCCTGTCTCATAAAAACCAAAAAAAAAAAGAAACACCTGGTGGATACTGCGCAAATCTGAAGCTAGTTAGTTACTTCGTATGCGCACAAGAATTAATTTAAAAAAACTAAAACACCCAAACTTCTACACATTCCCCCCCCAAAGAAAATATAAATACAGATTTATAAAATTTATTTAAAAATTAAGCCCTTAGGATTTAAATTATCCAGTTCATGTAAAAAGAATGGTCAGTAACTGTATGAGAAAGTATTTTTATCTATTAAGGAAACAACTTTTTACAATTCTTTATTCCGTCTGTGTCTACGTAGTGAACACACGTCACGGCACAACGTAAAGGTCAGAGGACGGCTTAGAGCAGCTCTTTCTTCCACCATGTGGATCCCAGGGCATGCAAGCTGGGCTTGGCGGTGGCACCTTTACCCACTGAGTCATCTCACCCGTCCAACGCTTGAATGCTACAGATAGGATAGTAACTGCGTATGACGGAGCTTTGAAAACAGAGCTGCAAACTGTGCTTGCTGGCTAAGAAAATAAAACTCAAGCCGGGAGGCAGAGGCAGGTGGATCTCTGTGAGTTCCAGGACAGTCAAGGCTACACAGAGAAACCCTGTCTTGAAAAAAAAAAAAAAAAAAGAAAAGAAAAGAAAAGAAAAGAAAAAAAATCATGCTGAATGACACATAACATGAAATGTGCTATCTCAACTGTGTAAAAATGTATTACATTTATGTGCGCGTGTGCGCGTGTGCGCGCGCGCGCGCACATATCATGGCATGCACCAGAGGACCACCTGCAGGAACCAGGCCTTTCATTCTAGCATGTGGGTCTCCCCAGGACAGCGCTCAGATCGTCTTGACAGCCAATACCTTTACCTGTTGAGTGCCATCACAACCATTTCCAAGTATAAAGTTCAGAGTTCTAAATTCTTTTGGCTGTGTACCCTGATGTGGAATGGCAGCAAGACCACTCTAAAGTTCACAACGCGCCTTCATTCTGTTTTTACAGGGCTTGTACCGTTTGATGTACAATACACAATACATGAGTGTCCAGTTCTCTACATTGTCAGAAAGACTGTTTTTTGTTTGTGGTTTCAGGTTAATTTTCTTTTGCATCATTCATGGTTAGAGATGCTGAGCTTGTATCCAAGGGCCTCTGGGTCATTTGTGTATATTCTTCTGAGAAATGTCAACTTAAGACTTTAACATATTTAAATGCAATGTTTTGCTGTTGCTCGTATGTAGGAGCTCTTCATATGGTCTATAACCTGTTAGCAAACAGGTGGTTTGCAGCTCTGCCCTCTGTCCCACAGGTTGTCCATTCTGCTGCTTGTGTGTCCTTGCATACACTGAGGTTTCCAATCTTGACACAGTCCAATTTACCTAGTTTTTCTTTTATTATCCATTCTTTTAAACATTGTGTCCAAAAAACATTGCTAAATCTAATATCATGAACTCCCCACTCACAATTCCTCCAAAGAGTTTTATACTTTTGGTTTACAGCATTCAGGGTTTTGACCCATTTTGAGTTAATTTCTACATGTATGTGAGCTAAGGATCCAACTTCAGTCTTTTACCTGTGGACTTCCAGTTTCCAGAACGGGATTTACTCCTCGCTTTCCATTCTAGTCTACTGCCTTGGGTGTCATTATGGGAAACCACAATGTGATTTTGTTGTTTTAAAATCAAGATGCATAAGTCCTCCAGCCCTTTCCTTCTTTTTCAAGATTTGGGATCTCTTGGTCTTCCCAATAGATATAAAGATGAATTTTTCTACTTTTGGATAAGATGTCATTCCTCTTTTGTTAGGCACTGCCTATGTCTGTAGGTCACTAGGATAGCACTGATCCCTTAGCCACCCTAGTCTTCCAAGCCAAGAGCACGGACTGCCCCTCCTTCAGTGCTGCCTTCTACCTCCATTATGAGTGTTTTGGAGTTTTCAGTGGAGTAGTTTCTCAAATTTTTAGTAAGCATATTCCTAAGAAGTTTTTTTTTCTTTTTCTTTTTTTGAGAAACAGTTTCTCTGTGTAACAATCCTGGCTGTCCTGGAATTCACTATGTAGACCAGGTTGGATTTAAACTCAGAGATCTGCCTGCCTCTACCTCCCAAGTGCTGGGACTAAGGGGGCGTGGCACCACGGACCAGCAAGAAGTTTATTCTTTGAGACTATGACATTTTATTTATGATTCTAAAATACTGTAAACTACCTTAATGTCAAAGGGACTGTCACAGGTCGTGAAATATATATGTGTAAAAATTAGAAAAGTGGCAAAGACAATACAAGAGTTTCTCAGTGTCACAGAGTCACTAGTGGGTGACATGGTTACACATGGCTGCTCTTTTAGAGTTCTCTGCGTTCAGCACTGCTAAAGCAGTGGCATCATCTGCATAAAGGGACTGGAGAGAAGACACACGGGAAGAGGGAGCCTTCAGTCACCCAGGAGGTGTCTTTCTTGGCTGGAAATGGAGCAACATGTGCCCCAACATATCATAAAGAGGCCAAAACTCATAATGACTCTACTACCCCTGCTGAGTTCAAACATAAAGTGCAGGACCCTGTCAGGATGCCACTAAGCCCAGTTCCAACAGGGCTAAATGCAGGCAGCTGCAGCCATTGCTCCTCTCAGAACATACCTCTGCCCAACAACTGCACGCTGAAAAGACCCACTGGTCATCATATGGGGACACAGTAGAGCCACTTACAGGACCTAATGGAGACTAAGCCTGGGGTGACTTCTAGGCTTGACCAACCTGGGGGGCATGGCTCTCTTTCCCAGGCTAGCCCTTAGTGTCCGGAAGGTACTCTGTTAGTAGCCCCACCTCTGGTTAGAGAGCCCCTGGCTATGCTTGGTCTTATGTCTGCTCCTGGTAGCACACAACTAAGCATACGCTTCTGAACCATATCAAGCACTACACCCATGGCCACGAAGCAGACCCCCTTACACTGCTGGCAGTGGCGGGAGGTGTGCCTTCCGTTCCACGTGTGTCCAGTGTAAGAACCTTCTACACTGCTTCTCAACATTTTTCCAGGCCCCCTAGGCTGGGGCTGCACTCTCAAGGGCTGACCTAATGTGGAGATGGTGGCTGGCAGCTCGGCACAGCACGACTCCCACAGGAAAGTGGCCAGCGGGGCTGTGTGTGGCTTTCCGTGCAGATTACGGGTAGAGAATCTGAAAAGGCCTTAGCCTGTGTTCTTTGGTTCTTCTGTCACTGTTTTATTCTCTGTTTAAACAAACCAAAAAGACCTGCCTGTAAATACTAATCTTATTTTTAGGTAGTGTTTCTGAACAAAACTTTTAAACCTTGATTTCTAAATTTAGCCAAGGGTTTTCTTTTTCTTTCTCAACCACTCCAATCTGGCATTTTAACCTAGAAGTCTGTGGCACTGTAATGGCAGTGTGCTGGCATCCAGCTGTCCAATGCCACTTTCAAAAACTCCT